AAGGTGTTGTGCTGTATGAGCAAAGCAGAACTGCAGTAGTTCTAAACAAACATGACATGTGCAAATTTAGAGACATCGCCATTCCAAATATTCACGTGGACTATTCGTGCCCACCCTGTGGTAAAGCCTTCCTGATCAGCCATGGTCGGATATACTGTACCTTGACCCTGGCACACTGATGTCATTCTGGTCTTCAAGCACAGACAACAAGCCACAACACTTGTGTGTGTATATGCGTGTGTGTGTGTGTGTATCTTCTAGGAATTGAAGAACATACCTGTCTCTCACCCACTGATTATGTCCGTCATCATCTTGAGTAGATACTTGTCTTTCTGTATCTTGAGTGGCCTTATTCATGCTGTAGCTACAGAGACTCTGAAATTTTTTGCAACAGGATCAAATGAAAGAGTATTTATAATCTGCCTGGAATATTGGAGGGGCCATATGACCAGCCTAAACCACCTTTCAAATGTGCTTCCACCTTACTGCCCTCCACCTGCTCTCTGACCCAGTGACTCTTGCGTATGTCCTAGCTGCTGTTTGGTTCAGAGCTTCCATTTCCCATCTCCATGTCTTTCTAGCAAAGGCAGAGTGAATAGAGCTCGAGGCCTGGAATCAGAAAGATATGAGGTAAAATCTAGCCTCAGACTGGGGAAGCCACTTAAGCACTGCTAGCCTGAGTTTCCTCTTCTATACAATGGGGATAATAAGAGCACCTACAACCCATGGTTATTGGGAGGATGAAATAAGATAACTATAAAGCACATAGTAAATGCTACATAAAGTTCAGAGTTTTATACGTTAAAGCCATGAACAGAATAAGAGCCTAGACATTCTATTTCCAAAAAACAAACAAACAAACAAACAAACAAACAAAATCCAACTGCCCAGGTCTCTTTAGAACCTAAGATAAAAGTTCAAATAGAAAAAAATTTACCAGTCACCTCTGGAAAGAAACTCCAAAATGAAAACTCATAAGATCATCACAGCTAAAATCCTTATGTAACGTCAAACAAACAAACAAAATACTGCAAGAATGCAGAAAGAACAAATTCAGACACTAAGGAGTCACAGTTAGAGTCACACATGATTTAGCAACCACCACTACAAAGGAGTGAAGATGGTGGAACATGCCAGAAGACAAAGGATATTAGCTTGCAACCAAGAATAACTTACCCACAAGAAAGAAGTATAGTCTGACAAAGAAAAATATCTCTTTAATGAAACAGAGAGCTTCTGACCATTGCTAATGAAAAGGCCAGGGCAGCATAGAAACTTTGAAGGTCAAAGACTGGAGTGAAAAGAAACATGAAAAGAAAATGCAAAGGAAAAAAATTAATGACTAAATAAAGATGAACTTCTTACATTTTAATATGGGGAGATGACACATGTGTCCTCTCTGAACCCTACATCATCGGGGGGAGAAGAATAATTATACAGAACATCTGGGAGTGCCTTCAAAATTGGTGAAAATGACAAAAAGGAAAGCATTAATATTTGACTTTTTTTAAATTTTGGAATTCACAAACATGAAACAGAATAAGCACTTTAGATAAGCCATAAAAGAGAAAAGAGAATTACATATGAAACAAGTCCTCATATGTAAAGCTGGATTTTCTTTCTGAGTAATTAAAAAATTCAACATGGCACTTTCAAAGCTATTCTCATTCCTTCTGGACTTCTTCCCGTTCTATTGCAGGTATTAAAACCCCCCAACAATTTCTTTTTCTTTTTTTGAAGTGGGGGAAGGGCAATCCTATTCCTAATCTCCCTCACTGCCATCTTCTCCTACTCAAAATTGAAAAAAAAAACCTGTCAGGAAAGCAGTCCACCAAAATAAATTCTTGTACTGTCCACGTCCCCAAACGTACTTTATTCTACATCTTGTATCCATTGCTTCTCATTCAGCGAGCAGGCAGTACAGATCTTGATAAATCTTCTGCCATAGTGGTTGATCATTACAATAACTAGAATTGTTTCATCTTTCACACTTAATGGCTTTTACAACACTGTTATCGGTTAGTCCCTTGATTCTACTCGCTGCCTGCTGCATCACTTCATACAGCTCTTCCCAGGTTTCACTGAAACTGCCCAAGTTCCATGGCACATTTGAGTTCCAATTCTATTCCTACACTAAAATTTATTCAGCCATTGTCCTATTGTGGGGAATCACACCTTAGTTTCCTGTTGTAACAAAGGAACTATTATGTTTTGTACACTTGAGTCTTTTTCTTCTTTGTTTCTTTGTTTTGTTGTTGCTTTTTGGTGAGGCAATTTGGGGTTAAGTGACTTGCCCAGGGTCATACAACTAGTGTCAAGTGTCTGAGACCGGATTTGAACTCAGGCCCTCCCGACTCCAAAGCCAGAACTCTATCCAGTGAGCCACCTAGGTGCCCCAAAATGTTGGTTAAGAAGGCAAGGAATTACGTAACTCATTTTAGAAGCCTTTTTTTTTTTTTTAGGATAGGCAATGGGGTTAAGTGACTTGCCCAGGGTCACACAGCTAGTAAGTGTTATGTGTCTGAGGCTGGTTTTGAACTCAGGTCCTCCTGAATCCAAGGCTGATGCTCTATCCGCTGTGCCACCTCACTGCCCCCCTTTTTCTTCTTTCTTTAAGAGAAAATGTCTTCAAGTGGTTTCACTGACTCAAAAGGCATACACGATTTAGTGACTTTTTCAGTTTCACAGCTTCACCAACAGTAAATTAATTCATGTGCCTATTATCCCACAGTGTTAATAATACTAGTTGTTTTCTGGTCATGCTTACCAATTGCAAAGGTGTGAGGTGGAACTTGAAAGTTGATTTAATGACATTTCTCTAATTTCAGTTATTTGGAGCTTTTTCTTTTTTGTTTCATTTAATTTTTAAATTAACAAACAGTTTCTGTTCCATTAAAAAAAATACAAAATTCTTGTACCAAGAAAAAGAAATTCCTCCTAATTTTTTATTCTCATTTTCTTATCATCTTTACCAATCTAAGAATTTTTCAAATTATTAATAATTTGCATAAGTGATAACAGATGTAGAGCATATTTTTTATGATTGTTTATAGTTTGTATTTCTTCTGCAGAAAATTGCCTATTCATAATTTTTTACTTTATAGTATCCATTAATCTGTATCTGTTTTCTATATACCTTGAATATGAAGCTTTTCTTAGGGAAACTTTTTTCTTCTTTCACATTTTTAAAAAAGTTTTTAGGATGTTGGGGTTAAGTGACTTGCCCCGGGTCACACAGGTAGTAAGTGACAAGTGTTTGGTCTGAGGCCGGATTTGAACTCAGGTCCTCCTGATTCCAGGGCTGGTGCTGTATCCACTGCACCACCCAGCTGCCCCATCAGGGAACCTTTTTTCAAAAAATTTTCCTAATTGATTGCTCCATTTACATTTTAGATGCTCTGTGTGTGTGTGTGTGTGTGTGTGTTTGCATGCACGAGAGCATGCACTTAGTGTGATGAAAACTGTCCGTTTTCTTTTCTGTGATACTATCTGTCCCTTGTTTGATGGTGATCTCATCATGCCCTATCCAAAACTCAAAAATACATCTTCTTCATGGTTTTTCCAATATGTTTGAGGGGACCTGTTATATCTAAGTCATGTATCTTTTGGAGTTAATCTTGGTATAGTGTGAGATGTTTGTCTATACCATATTTCTGCCAGACTGCTTTGCAATTTTTCCAGCAGTTTGTAGTGATTAGGAAGTCCTGGTTCCATAGTTGTGATCTTTGGATTTATTGAACCCATGGTTACTAAGCTCATTTTCTTTTGTATATTATGCACCTGATTCATTCAATTTCTCAAAGTTTTTTTTTTAATAAGTCATTCCTTTTCTAGAAATACAGAAATAGAGAATATTTGAGACAGGATTTGAATCAGTTTTCCTGATTCAAAACTCAGTGCCCCATCATAATTAATGCCTTCCTTACACTGTTCTGAATATCAATTTGAATGAAAAGTGACTAAACTATCTACACAGTTTAGCTTACTAATTCCACTACAAGATTTGCAATCCATGAAATAAATAGAAGCACCTAGCTTTTCAAATATGCTTTAATACTTGCAAAGCTCTTTACAAATATTGTCTAGTTTGTTCCACGTATCAATCCTAGGAGACAGTTGCTATTGTTATCCCCATTCTACAGAAGGGGAAGATCAGGCAGGAACAGGTTAAGTGATTTTTCCAGGGTCACAGAGCTACTAAGTGTCAGAGATTGAGTTTGAATCCAGGTTTTGGCATCTAGCTGTTTAAAGAAATCATTAAAGACGTAAATGTCAAACAGATACCAAAATATTTTTAACAGGACATTTAGTGTCGCCAAAGAGTAGGAAACAAAGTGGATACTAATTAATTAGGGAACAGCTAAAGAAATTATGGTATGTGAATGCTATGGAATATTACTGAGTAGTAATGACAAACATCAGGATTTCAAAGAAAAATTGATTATATTTATAGGGCTTTGTGAACAGTATGAAATTTGGGATGTCTAAGAAAGTCTATACTGCAGCAAGAAGCTTCCCTCATTACTTAGATCCCTCAGTTTTATCTCCAGCATGATTTCTTGTATACCCAAATATGAGCTCTACAAAAAGGCCTCAATATTGACAAAAGGCATTGCTTTTATAAGCCTTCTTACCAGTATGGATATCCTGATGTCTGGTGAGCTCCCTTTTCTAGCAAAATGCATATCCCCATTGAGCAAATTCGTAAGCCTTCTCTTCACTATGAATCCTCTGATGCAAAGTGAGAGATGATCTCTGGCTGAAGGCTTTCTCTCATTAAGTCTACATAGGGCATTTCCATAGACTGAATTTTCCACTGTCGAACAAACTCTGCACTCCATTTGAATGCCTTTCCTTATTCACTACAGCGATAAATTTCTAATAAGAATTCTCTGAGGGGAAATAAGGGATGATTCTTACTTTGAAGGCTTTAAAACATCGATCACATTCCTGAGGTTTCTGTCTAGTGTAGTTTCTCCTCTGTCTGAAAGTATTTCTACACTGATTACATTCATCAGGTTTCTCTCCAGTGTGGATTCTCTGATGAAGAGGAAGACTGGAGCTGTATCTGAAAGTCTTTCCACATTGATGACATTTATAAGGTTTCTCTCCAGTGTGGATTCCCTGATGTCGAACAAGATAGGCCTTCTCTGTGAAAGCCTTTCCACATTGATTACATTCATAAAGTTTCTCTCCAGTGTGGATTCTCTGATGGGCAGCAAGAGTGGAACTTTTTGTGAAAGTCTTTTCACATTGATTACATTCATAAGTTTTTTCTCCAGTGTGGATTCTCTGATGAAGATAAAGACTGGAGCTCTGTCTGAAAGTCTTTCCACATTGATTACATTTATAAGGTTTCTCTCCAGTGTGAATTCTTTGATGTTCACTAAGACTTGATCTTGTTCTGAAAGTTTTCCCACATTGATCGCAATCATAAGGTTTCTCTCCAGTGTGGATTCTCTGATGTACAGCAAGACTGGATCTATTTGTGAAAGTCTTTCCACATTGATTACATTCATAAAGTTTCCCTGCCGTGTAAATTTTATGATGGTCAATGAGCTTTGAGTTCTGGCTGAAGGCCTTCCCACCTTTATTTCCTACATAAAGCATCTCTCTACTATAACCTTTCTGATGTCTAATGAGGTTTGAACTTAAGCTAATGGCCATTTCCTGTTGATTATTTTGAAACATTTGTATTTTAGGATGCTTCTCATCAGACTGAGTAAGTCCAGACTTTTCAGTAAAGCATTCTCTATTGTCAGCATACTTAAAACACTCATTTTCTGAGGTAATTTTATTACACTGAATTAGGACTGAATATTGTCTGGAACCCTTTTCATCTTTATCAAATTCAAAGGGATTATGTTGATTTTTCTCTATCTTGATATCTGAGTCACAGATTTCTTTCAAATTGAAGTCACGGGGATCATCACTTGTGAATCTTTGCTGGCAAGATTCTTCCAGTGAAATGCTTAGCTTTGCAGTATTCTCCACTTCAAAACTGGTTTCTGCATCTGAAGGAAAAAAAAGAAACATAGTCACACACACACACACACACACACACACACACATTAGCTCACACCTGCAGGGTATTTTAAAAGAAGAACTTCACAAACTATAACACTGGATGCTCACAACAAACCTCTGCGGAAGATAGGATGGGATTCTCATTACACTTTATAACTCAAGCCATGAGTTCAGAATAGTCAAGTGACATGAGCAACAACCCTGCAGGTGAGACTAGAACTCAGATCAAACCCTGTGACTGAATATTCTCTTTTCCCAGCACTGGGTGGTCTTTCTTCTCTTCAATCCTTCAGTCGAATGTCTTTGTTGACTGTTCTTTTTATTTTGTTGTGCTCATGTAAGCTTTCTGCTTTTGTATACTGAACAGTTCTGATGCACCTCCACTTGGTAAATTTCATATGCTAAACAAGGTTTATAGTTTTCACCTGCCGTGTATTAAGTTTCAGTGTTTTATACAACTTTTTTCACATCCTATTCAGATCCACAGATATATCATGGTAATAAACACAGTTAAAGATACATTTCCCACATTCACAAATATTCTGTCCCATTCTGTATCTCCAGACCTTCATCCTTCTTTCAGGAAGTGGACAGCATGATTCACTATTAGTCCTCTGGCAAGCACTTCTTATTTAGTGGTTCACAATCACACTGGTAGTTCTAAGGGATTTGAGCTAAAAATTCTTTAATGGCATCTTAAGCAGTAACTACACAATTTTGTCACAAATATATTTTTTCCTTTCGGACAACAAGGATGTACCTGTTTCAAACATAATAGGTTTCTTTATTCAGTGATTCCAAACCATCGTGATTGGGCATACAATGATTTTGATGTTCATGCAGTGATTACATCACACTCTGACTCCTTCTGACTAAGTGAAACATGTTCTGTTCCTTGACCCATCATCAAGTTGTTTCCAAACTGCCAGAAAGATCTGATGTTCACCTGCAAATCGATTCCCAGTGGATGCCCACAGGTGCCCACATGCCTTCATGTGCTTTCTGTAATGCCCTGTACCAGAGCAGTTCCCTCATTCCAGGGTTACCCTGTAATTGTGTCTCATCAGTGATGTGACCATCAGACCAAGATGTTACAAAAGCCTGTGTTCTTGCGGTGCAGAGGGTAGCTTCTTTGAAAAACGTGCTCACTAGGCATGGGCATTACAAGACATCTTGCAACCATCAGGAATCATTCCAACCATTCTACAAAAAAAAAGACCTTATGTTGCCTTTCATTGTGGTGTTAAGGCTATTTCCTTTATTTGAACTTATTTTCTGCTTGTGTTACTATTCTCCTAGCAGGCAGATTTTCAAAAGATCTGGATGGTAACATAGGTCATTTGTTCTGTGGAAGAGTTTCTGTAAGGGTGTAGATGGTGTGCTAGTGGTAGAAAAAAGAAACTTATGTTTGAAAATTTCTTTCCTTACAAAGTTGGTTTTATAGAAAAAAAGGAAAACAACATAGGCAATTGAACTTAAAGGGAATTTATCATTTAAAATGCTACCTGGCATTAGTAAATAGAAAAATCAAACTTTTATATATTGACTAGCGATTCATTTTGGTGACTGGTTGTAGGCTAAAAACTAAAAATGAATTTTCATCCCTCGGCAAGACAGGTTGTAAAAGGCTCCCACTATTTTCCACCTCTTCCATGTGTGAGTGGGCATTTTCATGTATTCTGGTTACCAAACAAAATACACAAGGAATAGAGAGCTGGGTTTAGTGTTCAGGAAGACCTGAGTTCAAATCCCACCTCAGACACTCACCAGCACTGTGACCCAGGGCAAATCACTTAGATTCTTTTTGCCTCTGTTTCTTCAACTATAAAATGGGGATAATAACAGCATCTCCCTCAGAGCATTTTGAGGATCAAACGAAATCTTGTCTGTAAAGCACTTAACCCAGTGTATGGCACATCACAGATACTACATAAATACTATTCATTATTATTATTATTATCATTTTTGTTGTTGTCTTTTCATTATTAAAGCAAGTGGATGCAGAACCATATTGAAGATTGATTTTGGCAGCTGCTGAATGGAATATTGCAAACCTTTGTTCAAAGAAAAGAGTCTAACTTTGAAATGAATTTCATTATTACATTATGTTAATGCCTTCAAGTTTTAACCAATTTGATTTTTAAAATGCTGTTCACATTTAACAAAAGTATAAAGTAAATAACTTTAGAAGAATTTGTTCAGATAATTGAGAAGTCTTACTGTATTTCTAAAAATAATTCTTGTGGAAAGCCCCACATTAAATTTTCATAATTATTTTTTACATATGATATTCTAATTTATATTTTGTTTTTATAATTTAAGTAGAATAACATTTTACATTTTATAGTAATACATTATAATGAAAGTACTGATTTGGAACTTTGAGGGGCAAAAGTTTTCCAGCTCATTATTGGAGGAATTAAATGCATAAACTAATATGAATAACATCAATAGTAGTTTAAATGACTAGGGAGTTTCAGAACACCCTTGTTGTTATTGTTGAAAGAGGTTCTCAAAAATTTTGGGAACCACTGCTATGGAGTTATGATTGTTCACTGCATTGATCAGTGTTGGTAAAGTATAAACTATTCTACTAGTTCTGTTCACTTATCTCTAAATCTGTTCAGACAACTCTTCCCACGTTTCTCTGAAATTGTGCCTTTTATCACTTCTAGAGGATCAGAAATCTTCCATTATATTTTTATACTATCATTTTATTCAGTCATTTCCTAATATGTGGGCACCATCTTTGTTTCCAGTTGTTTGCAACTATGAAAAATAGCAACTATCACTTTGTATTATGTCTATAAATCTTTCCCCTCTTTCTTTTATTTTTAATTTTTTTTTTGGCAATTGGTGTTAAGTGACTTGCCCAGGGTCACACAGCTAGTCAGCGTCAAGTGTTTGGTCTGAGGTCAGAGTTCAATTCAGGTACTCCTGACTTCAGGGCTGATGCTCTATTCACTGCGCCACCTAGCTGTCCCCCCCCACCCCTTCTTTGATTACTAATTGACAGGTCTACTATTGGTTATCACTGGTCAAAGTACATTTAGTCTGGAGGCAGAGTTCTAACCCTACAGAACGACATCTTTTCATTTAATGTTGCATGAATTTTTGTTTCAAGGATGCTTCTTATAAACAACATGTAGCTGGGTTCTGCTTCCTAATGCATTCTGCTACCCTCCTCCATTATTATGGGTGAATTCATGCCATGCCTATTCAGTTATGACAATTAATTATGTTTTCTCCATCATATCCTCTTACCCTCTTTTCCCCTGCTTCAATCTTTAGGAACAAAAAATAGATGGAGAAAGAGGTAGGAGCAACACTAGTCATCTGTACTTGTAATGGCACGATCCTCACTCCTCACGCCACCTTGTCATCCACCCATTCTAATCCTAGGTGACTGGCTGTAACACTATTCTAACACTCTCCTATCTTTTAAATCTTCCCTGTTTGAAACATCCTGCATGGTGGAAACATTTTCCATCTTGAGGCAGCTGGGTGGCAGAGTGGATAGAGCGCTGGGCCTGGAGTCAACTGAGACACTTATTAGTTGTGTGACACTGGGCAAGTCACAGTACATCTGCTTGGCTCAGTTTCCTCATCAGTAAAATGAGGATAGTAACAGCACCTATCTCCTAGGGTTGTTGTATAGATCAAAGAAGATAATATTTGTAAATCACCTGACACACATTATTGTTCAGTCGTTTCAGTCATGTGACCCCCTTTGGAGTTTTACTGGCAAGCCTACTCGGGAAGTTTGCCAGTTCCTTCTCCAGCTCATTTTACAGATGAGGAACTGATGAAGCAAACAAGGTTCAGTGACTTGCCCAAGGTCACACAGCGAGTAAGTGTCTGAGACAAGATTCGAAGTGAGGAAGATGAGTCTTCCTGACTTCAGGCTTGATGTTCTATCTACTGTAACACCTAGCCGCCCTTGTTTCCTTATCCTCCTCCACACTTCCCCAATTCTTTCTTGCCTCCTTTCGCATGTTGCCCACCCATTAGCTTGTACGTTGCTTAAGGGCAGAGACTGTCTTTCTTTTGACCAATTGTATCCTGAGCACTTAGCGCAATGCCTGGCATAGAACAGGTTATTAATGGAGAAGGTGCTGTGCTCTAGGAGCAAAGCAGAATTGAAGCAGCTCAAAAGAAACACGAGATTCGCAAATTTAGAGAATCCACCCTACACGTTCACAGAGACTACTTGTGCCTGACCTGTGGTGGAACATTCCGAGCTCGTACTGGTCTGATCAGCCACGGCCGGATACATCATGACTTGACTCCAGCACGGTGATAGCATTTTGGTGAACAAAGGACAACAATCAATCAACCATTCCCTCCCCTTTCATCCTTATTTTTTCCACTAATTTTCACTCTCTTTCTGTCCACTGGCGCCTTCCCTACTGCCAAAAACAAATCCAGGTCTTCCTAAGAGTCAAAGAAGCCCCACTGGTCCATTCATCTCCACTACATATTGTCCTATATCTTTCTCCCCTTCCATTAGTAAACCTTGACCTTTGCGCCTCTCCTCTTTTGATTTGCTCTAATTTATCCTGGATGTGGCAGGTCTCCACATAACGGTTTGTGTGTTGTCTTTCCCACTAGACTGTGAACTCTCTGAGAACAGGGGCTGTCCCTTGCCTTTCTTTGTATCTATGGCACTTAGGATGGTGTCTGGCACATAGCAGGTGTTTTATAAATGCTTGTTGAAGGTCTAGGAAAGAGTTCATATGGGACAGCATCAGCTCTTTTTGTATGCTTTCAGGAGATTTCCAAGCCCAAATTACTAAACAGTAACTTCTTAAGGAATCATAGATTTATCACTAGAAGGGAAAAGAAAGACCATGATGTATAACCTCCTAATTTCACAGATGGGGAAACGGTGGCTCAGAGGTTCAATGACTTTCCCAAGATCACACTGTTCAAAAGCGTCTAAAAGAGAATTCCAAGTCAGGTCTTCCTGCCCTCAAGCCTAGCATTTCCTTCACAACGCAGATGCTTCTTGTGATAACAGCCCTCATATACCTGCTTTCATGTCACTCACCTGGACAGAAGTTCCTTGGGCCTATTTGATCCAGGATCCATGATACTTCCCTTTTTTCAAAATGAGACATAAAATCTTCTCTGAGAACTGGAATTCCTTGGCATGGGAATAAGGAAAGGATGAGGAGGGAGAGAAGTTTTCAGAGATTTTGCAGACAAAATTCATGTCCAGGTGGGGCTAGGATAGATAATCTCTGAGATTAATTCCAAGACTGAGAATCTAGAAATGCTTTTTTGTTCCATAACCTGAAGGTATCTAAAATAGGAAAGAGACAGCTTTGGGAGTAACAAAAGAAAGTCCCAGTTTCTTATCACAAAATGCAAAGACCTTTTATTGGGAAAGCCAGGGAGCAGGACGATTTTGTTGAGAGACCACCACTTTTGTGTTTCTAATAATTGATAAATCAAACCCTGTACATTAGGGAAGGAAGGAAGATACTCCTTTTTTTTTTATGTGAGGTAATTGGGGTTAAGTGACTTGCCCAGAGTCACATGGTTAATGAGTGTTATGTGTCTGAGGCTGGATTTGAACTCAGGTCCTCCTGATTCCAAGGCTGGTGCTCTATCCACTCTATCACCTAGCTGCCCCTGAAAGATACTCTTTTGATGACAGATTCAGAGTTGCCAGGGGAAACTATACTTACCCAGGGAGAGCAGGTTCTGGGAGTTTTCTAGCATCACCTCCTTGTAGAGCCCTTTCTGAGAATGGTCCAAGAGGCCCCACTCCTCCTGGGTGAAGTCCACAGTCACATCCTTGAATGTCAGTGACTCCTAACCATCAAAATTCACAAGACTTAGAGCTGAAGGAGACTGAAGAATTCATCTAGCCCAACCCTCAAAAATTTATAGGAGGAAACTGAAGCACAGAGAAGGATTTCCTAAAGGTTATCTCATGTATGAGTGCCAGAGTCAACACTTAAAACCATAGTTTTTATTAAAAACCCAATGGAGTACTGAGACAAAGCATTTATATTTGCAGTTGAAATGAAATTGACAAATGCTATAAAATGTTTCTCCCTAAGGAATCAGGGAGAAGATATATGTTCTATCAGTGAGGTATGAGGGTTTGTGGAGCAGAAAGAAAGTGATGTGAAATTTCATCCTTATCATAACTCTGATAGTGACATGTTAAGAAAATTCTATGAAGAGTTTGTGAGCTGGCAAGTGCTACGTATTCTGGGGGTAAAGATATGACCTACAATCACTGAAGAGAGAGCAAAGAAAAAGGAATAATCTAGTTAATTTCCTAAGAGTCTGAGATAAAATTTTATCTACATGAAAACATGATGAGGATTCTTAAGAGATAATAGTCACAATCTGGACTCCATTAAGTAGTAGGAGACTATTACCAGCCAAGGGAAGAAGAGTTATTTGTAGATATATTGAGGGCGTGAGGTGAAAAAGGATAAGATTTATTTATAGCCAAAACATCTTATGTCTGCTTTATGATTGCTTTCCCATGTTAATGGCACATATTCATCTTGATGAGGTAAGGAGGGTTCCTTCATTTATTAGAAGTATAGTATTTCATTACCTAGGCTTGGGGATTCAGCTAATTCATGAGAAAGATACCACCAGCTTATGAGAAATAAGTTATCGAAACATACCCCTAGAACTCTAGACCACTGGAGAACAAGAGTCAGAATAGTGAGTTAAGAGGCAGACCGAAAGATGAACTACAAGAGATATTGGTGACGGCTCATCTATTTTTCCAGTGTGCTCCATGTAGGATGTGTTTGGCCAATGTGTTATTTCAAGCTCTCTCATTTCATTATCTGCCATTTCCATTAGTGCTATGGTTCGCCTTTTCAGAGGTTCTGTTATTTAGGAACAATTCTTGATCCTGTGATAAGATCATCTTTTCATTTTCATCATTCTGATTACTTCTTTAACACATCTGATTTATACTATTTAGAAATCCATATTTCTTTAAATTCCTTTATTTCTAAATTATTTCACTTCTGAATAATGAGAGCATTTATTGCTCTTTTCCACTTTTTGAGATTCCCAAGAATTCATCAACCTTTCCTTTTCACCAGGGTCTCGTGTCATAATTCTTCATTGCATAGTATTTATTCATCATATAGGCTCTCATTATGTGTAATAGAGAGTAATGAGTGAAGTGGCTTTCTTTGAGACAGTCAGTTGTCATGAGGAAGAATGTAAAAATCAAAACCAGGGGGGCAGCAAGTTGGGGGATAAGTTATTGCCAGAGATGGAAAAAAGCTAATGAAGCAGTTCAAAAAACAGAAGAGAGCAGGGCAGTGTTATTACTACTGTATTCTATTTCATGTGTGTGTTTTGTTTTGTTTTGTTTTTTAAACTATCATTAGGTAAGAGAGATTATTAACAGCTTCATAGGTAATCTTCATCTATGGAAATGCCCACCTTTGCTGATGTTGGTCAAGCCTGGGGCTGCACTGCACTCACCTGCCATGGGGATCTTGGGGTTCTGGGGGCCATTCCCTCGGACTCCCTGCTTGGGCCAGGTCTTGGTCCTCTTCAGGGGAGGGAGAAGGATCCCGGGGGGAGACGTCTCTGCCTTCACTCCCAGGCAGGGGGCTGGCCTACAAGGACTTACAGAGCATGAGACCTCTGAGGAGTCACAAAGCCCCTGGCACTGCCCTCTGGAGAGAAAGTCCAACCAGAAGAGGGGGGTGGCAGGGTGGACATGGTGACCACTTTCCTCCTTCTCTTCTGTCCCTACCCTCACCGTCATCTCACAGACACCCACGAGGCAGGAAGGGGCTTCACATCCCCCATGGACGAAACAGTCAGTCTCTGTGACTCCTGAGTCATAGCTCCCTCCCACTGAGGCTCTGGGTGAGGTCTGAAGTGGTAAAGCAGGGGGTGGTACCCCAGGACCCTGGGGATGTGATGGGGAGTCTGGACAAGAAGCAGGGGCTGGGGCCTGGGAAGAAGGTGGGATCCTGGCATACCTGTAGGACACTCACCAAGAGCTCAGGATGAGGCCCAATGGAAAGGGCATCGAGGAAAAGCAGGGTTCTGGTTAGGGTCCTGGCTCAGATCTACAGTCAATCCTCCCCTTGCAGGGGTAATGTTCCTAGAAAACAGCATGAAAGTAAAAAATGTGAATGGCAATACCTTGAACTTATGGGGAAAAAACTGTCATCTTTTGCTAGAGATTGTTGAAAATATACTCTTCTGGGAGGAAGGTTGGACCTTCAGTGGACCACCCCCATCCTCCTGGGGAGGGGGCAGGGGCAAGCACTGCACCACCACCCCCTACCCTACCTATTCACTAACCTGGTCTTAACCACTCCCAATTGTGGGTGTGCGTGTGTGTGTGCATGCTCTGGCTGTCTGTCTGTCCGTCTAGCTCGCCTAGTCCCCCCTGGGTGGATGGGGGGGCAGGGTATGGGGTCTTAGTCCCCCCACTCTAGGGGGAGGTGGGGGCTATTTCTATGCAAATAGAAATCAGCACATTCCCCCTGCATCTCCCACTTCCACTCCCTTACCTCCTTATGCCCCCCACAAAAAGTCTAGGAGCAGAGAGGGGTTGATTTTTCCCAATGAAATGAGGAAAGATGGGGATGAGGAAAACTAAGAATTTAGGGATTGAGAAGGGCCCATTCAGGGCTGAGAAGAGAGAAGACGTAAGGAAAGAGTAAAGTAGTAGTTCTAAGCCAATGTGGCCCAGGAGTGGACCTGAGCTCCCCACTTGGGGAAGGCTCAATGGGGTCGAGATTCACGCACTGCAGTTGAGCTATAGGGCAGATCCCCTCCATGCCCTCTCTCCATTCTCTAACAGAATGGAAGGGCATGAATAAACAAACCCCTTTTTCACTTTTCTCTAACCCACTTGAGATGGATATGAGGAGCTCTCTAAAGTTGAAGCCCCTGTTTGCTTTCCATTCTAGAAAGGCAGAGGAAGTGGGAGGCCAAAGCTGAGGGAGGATGGCAGGGGGCAGGGATCCCTCCCTTGCTCCTCCATTCCTCTTCAGTGACTGTTTCACAGTAATACCCTGAGCCTGAGGAAGACTGGAGGGCTATCCTCAATCAGTCCTCCCCCAAGAGAAACACTCCAGCCTTGAGCCTGAGGAACTGGACCTACGGGTTCCAATTCCAATCCATCCCCTACTTTCAGGGCCCATTCCCTCACCAATGGCTAATGGGGAATTGCCCCTATTTCTTCAAACTTGGAATGCCCCCAGACAATAGAGAAGGGGAGGGGGAAACTACAGTATTTTCTTTTGCACTAATTCCGCACCCCTAGGCAAGAGACTTGGCTCAGTCTGGGAGGGAGAGCACTGATATCACTCCTCCACTTGGCCCCATTTCCTGGCCTCTTGGGTTTATGGCCATTTCCTAGCCAAACCACTAGGAAGTATTGACCCCAGCCTATGGACCCCAAGATGCCCCTCCCTACCCTGACCGTGCTGTGTGTACATATATATTCTACATATGTATATTAAACCCGTGCTGCCATGTTTGCCCTTTTGTGGTTTCTAGTGTTAATTTATTGTCTAGATCAGACCAGAGAGCTTGGGGAAAGGGAGTGGGGTGGGGGATGGGGTGGCACATAGCCAAAACAGAAGAAAAGGCAATTCTAAAAAAAAAAAGTCATATTCAAGCCTAGAGTTGATTTAGAATAAGTTTTTGTGTCTGATGCTTCTAGGGAGGAAGTAAGAGTAGAAAGTAAGTGAGGGGAATAAGCCAGCTATTGGAAGAGGGAAGAAGCCAGAGGGCTAGAGATTACCCATTATCCCAAATACCCCAACCTCTATACCCACTGCCCCCGTTCTGCCACTGCTGCAGACACCTGCCTTACAAACACCTCTACACACTCCGTGGTTTTGCCTTAAGGACCTTCCTAAGACCCCTTAGTCCTGTCTGGCTTTTCCCTAGGAGTTAAGAGGACACTGGCTCCTTTTCCCCAAAGCAAACAGGAGATTGGTGGGACTGGGAAGAGAAATGAGCTCTTACTTCCTATGTTAGGGGGTACATAATGTTGGGGTAAGAGGGGTGCCACCCCCGCCCTTAGCTGGGAGGAAATGAAGGCAGGTCACCTTAGTTTTAAAATTCCCTGTCCCTTGGTTAAATCTTAAGACAGATTTAAAAAAAATACTAAGCTACCCTCCTACTATCCTGCACTGCAGTGAGAGTCACCCCCTTCCCTGTGCCCCTCTGTCTGCGGTGTGAATGGCCTTGTTCTAACCCTGGAATAAAGGTAACTGTACTGAAAAGAAAAAAAAAAGAAAAAAGAAAATACACTCTTCTGCATATAATTCTTTATAATAAAACATTAATTCTGATAACATGTAGTCTTGAAATAACCCAGAAAATGTGGTACACAAAATAAAATTGGTAACATGCAAAACATTTTTTCTCACCAGTTATTCCCTAGAATTGTTACCTTTTGTGCCACCATCTCAATTAAAAACAACAACAAAAAACTTGATTTCAGGCAATATTCATTTTGCATGAATACTGTATAACACATAAAATTCTTAAAACAAAAATATTTTAAAGCTTGAATCCTACCTTCCACTACGTCAGATGGTGGTGTGAGGGCATTGTAATGTATACTATACAACTATAAACCTCTCTACCTTGTCTGCCCTCTGAAAACCAAGGGAGAGGTGGTTGGCACTCTCATCACTCAGTCCAGCTGGCCGTCCAGCTGACAGTCCAGCAGTCAGTTCCATGTGCCTGTGTCTCTAGCTCTTTTTAAGAGCTCTGGTAATCTCCAGTAGCCTCTTAGCGAGGTACCTCACGCCATGTCCTTCCTGACATTGGAACCTCACTCTCATCTAAACTGATTAAAGAAACACACACACACACACACACACACAAATTTGGATACATAAATACATTTCAGTAAAGAGAGAAACAAAAGGGAAAGGGGAAAAGATAAAAGGTAGAATAAGAGAAGGGTAGAATAAGGGAGAAATTAGTTCTAATCATAACAAACTAAAGGATATACTAAAATAATCAGTGCTCCATGCACTGTTCCGCCTAAAGAAAGAATGCTTAAAGAAAGCATTATAGAAATAAATTTCTAACAGATGTCAAAACATCATACCAGGCTTTTTTTATGCTAGCAAAGAACAGGAAACAAAGCAAGTACCAATCAATTAGGGGATGGCTGAAGTAGATGAATGCTATGGAATGTTACTTGGGAGAAATGACAAGCACTAGGAATTCAGAGAAAAATTATTTACATTTATAGGGCTTTCTGCATAGTACAAAATTTAGGATGTCAAATCCATGCATCAAGCTCAAACTGGCCTTACTGTAAGCCCTCCCCATTCAAAATCCTATTAGTTACAGCTTCTAAAAATTATGTGATCAGAATTGTTTTTCAGAAATAGTCCCATTAATAACAGACAGATATTGCTGAACCAGTAAGGCTGCAGGTTAGTTAATCCCTCAATTAATCAACAAGTATATTTAGGTGCCAACTTTGTGCTAGACATTATAACAGGCACTGAGAATACAAATACAAAGAATCAAACATTCCCAACTTTTAAAACAAATTACAAACAGTTAATATAGGGCAGTAAGAACTAAATCTATAGGAAAAGGATAGAACCTTGAATATCTAAAACCTTTAGAGATAACACTAGAGAATGCAAAGAGGGAGACCAAACAACTTGCAGTCGTGGGGCTGGCCCACATCTTGTGATGTTTTCTGCTCCTAATGGGAGCTTCTGCCCTCAAACTCCACCCCCTCCCCCAACCTGCCTTGTCATATCTAGTTGAGGAATAAAGAATGAGTGCTGAAAACATGCTGCTCTATGAATACAGGCCATTTATAGAATTGAGTTCTCTAAGGTTATAGAGATTTTGCAAAGATCTCCCTTCTGTTTTTTTTAAAGTTATTTTTAACATTCTTTTTTTAAATTTGAGCTTTGAATACTCTCCTGTCTTGCTGCCCCTCCCCCACCTACTGATAAGGCAAACAATATGATATCAATTATACATGTGAAGTCACGCAAAACACTGCCATATTGGCCATGAAGAACTCCCTTCCTGAACCCACATGCAAATGCAGTAGACTCTGGTTCTACCTAACATTAAGAAGGAAAGGAGATTGATGGGGAGGAATTGGGGTGGAGGACCGATGTCACTGGCTGTGAGCCTGTCTTCTCATGCAACACTTAGGCTAGGAACAAAGGTCGATGAAGAGTTTTAAGAACAGGGATGTGCCTTCTGTGCAGGTCAGACTCAGGATCAGACTGTAATTACTGGTAATCAGGAGAACCCCAAAATGAAATGACAAGGAATATAAAAAATTATAAAAACCTTGAAACCCCTGGATTTCAAGGGCAAAAATTAAATTAAAGCCAAGACTACAATCCCTTAGAGAACCTCCTAAAACAATAAGGAAGAATGAATATTGTAATCTTGATGAGAACATAAAGCTTGCTTAACAAATGGAGACAAATGTAAGTTCATGGATGCCTAGTGAATTACATAAAATTCTTGATTCTGAAGAC